AAATTCGTGTTTATTTCTTTCATAGTTTATAACTTAAACTCCCTGTTAGCAAATAAGCTTTGTTATCCTAACGACGTGCTTAACAACGTGTTACTTATTTGATTCCTGGTATCCAGGGGGTGTATGATATAAAACCTCCTAAAGGAAGTGCAAATCATACGCCTGGTTTCACAGATGCTGCTAAAACTGAATTTGCGCACGAAGCTACGCTAACTGCCTCAAAGGGAATCGCATTAACTGGTATAGATTATTTGGTCGATGATGGTTTTGCTAGACTAGTTAAGTCGGCTTTTGATGGTAAACTTTCTTGAAAAATGATTTTAAGTTACAATAATTATATCATTATAAAATCTTGTAAAGACTTTATAACAAATGAATTAAATAAAGTTATACAAATTAATTGAAAATTTATTAACATTGTTGAAACCACATACATACAAATTGACCAAATCGATAAAGATTTTCGGAATCAACGTTAAAATGAAAAATTGTTAATTAATAAAAATCTTTTTAAAAAATTGTGTTGATTCGGTGATTTATATCTTTCTTGTTTGATGTGTCTTCTTAACTTCAATAGCATATGTTGATAAAACACCTTTACGTTTTAGACATCATCATGGTGATTTCAGCGATAATTTAAGAGGTTACAAGTAAGAATCATTATAATTGTTAAAAAGAATATATAAGTAAATAAATAAATTTATATATATACAGTATGTAGATAAATAATATTTATTGAATATAAATACTCACTAAAGTGTTTTCTTTAACCAATACTTTGCTTGCTTGAAGTTGCTGATGAATAGTTGATTTTCGATTCAATAGGAATAAATGATGATTCATGCATACATGGTAGTTTTGTTTAATTTTATGTTCTCCCCATCCAAGATCTATATTCGATTGCTTAAAAGGAAAATTTTTATAAGCAGAAAGATGAACCAAAGAAACCAAAGGAATAAAATCCATAATCAATTAGATTATCCTAAAGAATTTTATAGAATTTGAGAAATTTGTCATTAATTTGTTGTAACTTTTATCTAACATTTGCCATTATTTATTATATTTATCATCGTTCATCTTGAGTTTATCATCCCTATCACTAGAAAAGTTTTCAGATGATACATGTTAAATTGTAGCCATTACATAAGTTAACATTTGCAGATTATAGTGTATTTGATAATGCAGAAGCAATCTCGTATGAGAATTCTAAGGAGCTTTAATACATTTCATTTTGACGATTTGCAAAGTAATGCTATAGGAAAAAAAAAAAATAATAATAAGAAAGACAAATGGGTAACGTATAGTTGTTAGGCTATGCGCAATTTAAAGAAAGGCACATTTACTAGTCCAATATACTGAGCTTACCTTTTGAGTACAAATCGCCTTCTAAGCGTTAATTTCTGACGAGTTTATATTGTAGAACTTAACCTTTTTTTATAGTCTGAACTGATAATTCTATTGATTGCCCAACTTCTGATACTAGTAAATAATATAATTCAATAATATTATGAGAGTGAGTTTAGAGACCTGAATAATAAAGTTTTATATTACACGCTATTACATCTTTTTGTAAACTTACTTTTCTTTTAAACAATCAATTCTTCCTCCAGTATCAGGAGACTCTTATTAATAACTAAAGTTAAAACGCTTGATTTGAGAACTATCAAACTGCTAATTCCAGTAATTCTCCTGAGTCCTGACGCAATAAAAGCATAGTAATTGGCTATTCAAAAAGGGTTCTTAATACATTAAATGCCAGTCCCCACCGCGTGAAAAGGAAATCAAAACTGAGGTAAATGCTTAAAAATTTTTATTTATTTTTTTTTTTTTTGTTCATTGGAAATAAATTTTCTTAGACAATACAAATATATCAAGGGAAGAAGATTTCTGGAGTAGGGTTTCCGTTGAAAATAGTATATTCGAATATTTAATAAAATTTCAAATATTACATAATTAATACTTGAATATCGAGGATAGGTATCGAAATATCAAAGATCGTCTGAATTCCAACTTCACAACATTTCGATTTCTTTTTTTTTATATACATTCTTTTCGAAATGTTTTTGATATTTTGAAATCAATTTCGATATTCTCTTGAAAATATTTTAAAAAACTTTCAAATATTTGAAATACAATTTGTATTTCAAACGGAAACCCTATTCTGGAGTGCTGTTGGATTTGACAGAGGTTATTGTTATGAAGACGAAAATAAAAGCAATGATGAGACTGTTTATCTCTCCGGTAACCGCTTAGGATGAATACATAGTTTAGAAATGTGAATGTAATATCCAAGATTGCGTAATTTTTTTTGAATCTTGATCACGTGGGTACAAAAATACACTGCTTTTATTACGTCACATGCATCATTAATAAATCAAAAATTTGAAATTCCTATTGATTATTTGAGATACTATGACCCGTAAAAAGAATAAAACTCATACGCAATCTACTTCATCACCAACCTCTATCAATTTAGCATAAAATCTCAATCCAAAAAGTGATACACTTACATACGGAATTACGAGAACTTATATACATCAAGTATCATAGTTGAAGAAATTCGAACGGCATTAATATATGATCGAAAAAAATATGCTTTGTTTTATAACTTTATTTGTCTCTCGAAAAACAAAGAAAGATCTAAGAGAAAAGCATATCACGGCTTAATGAAGGAGGTCTTGAATATGAGGTCTTTCGTAATACATCCATTCAAGCTGGTCTAATTTATAAGGCGAAATATTTTGGAAATAAAATAGACAACCGCGGATTTTATTTCTCATGGGAAAGAGCAAAAAGATTTGGATCATTTGTCAACATTACACCAAATGATCATCTGCGGAAAGAATGATGATGCTGAAAATAAAGGTCCGGAATCACACGGTCAAATAATCGTTTTTTTAAAGGTTATAGATACATGGGATTGTATTAACTTGTTTTTGATGTATCAAGTATTTGTGAAAGTAGAGTCCGCAGTCAATGTGTCATAATGGATCACGAGAGCATCACGGGATTTGTGGACACATGTACCTTGATCGATCCAGGAATGCATCACGCCCCACATTCATTCTCTGTAATACTGGCCCGCATGATCATAATGTATCACGGGAACAAGTTTCTCCAAAAGCAAAATCGATCCTGTAAAATATATAAAAAGGTGATGTTCCACTTAGTGTACCCTTTTATCCGCCTTGTGCAAGTAAAGCAAAGAAATCAAAACGAAATATTCAAACTTACCACCATTAACATCATACGAACTCGTATATTCCGCAAAAGTAATAATAAGGTAGGATGGTTTATTGCTCGGCTTGATACTATATTCACATCATCACGATGTTACTCGAATTTTCCGATTCTATAGATGCTCAATATCAAAGCGGACATATTACGAAATCTGACGCAGTATCTGTACTTACCTATTTGGCGGAGATAATTATTGCGATCTAAAAATTGCATGATTTAGGTATTAAATCATTCCCATTAACTATTTCTGGATACGAATAAGATGAGTGGACAACGTGTTATGAAACACGTCTTCCTAACACGCATGCCTACTTACACAGCTCGTTGTTAGAAAAAAATTTATATTGTTGATCGATTTATTTTTATTTTGTTGATCGTCGTATTACAGGGGATCAGATGCCTATCGTAAAGCAATGATGTAATTTTATGTAGATCCGTGTTTTTTCAGATATAAAGTTAATTAACTCTATCTTTCTCTTTATAAAACACAATTTTTGTTAAACAAGAAAGGAAGCTTCTTCGATAGAGAGAGCCTATCGGAAGCCAGCAATGGCGAGTCATCTTCCAATCGGTGGCCGGCTGACTTTATTGCACAAGGAGTATAAATTGAAATTTTATTTTTATTTTAATAATCATTTAAGTCAAATCAAAATTATCCAAGATCTAATATAATAAATATAATAGGTATATTTGATAATAAATAAATATACTAGGGAAGGAACGGTCTCAAATAGCTTTATCCAGACTTTTTGTGCAATTGCAAAAGCCAATCGGCATTGACTCAATTATTGTAAATGCGGACATCGAAACACTTTGCATAGTCCATCACTTCGTTCCGAACCAATAAATTTATATACTGTAAATTTAAGATTCAAATTCATAAATTACGTTAATTTCATTTCGGAAAGTGGAAGAAAAAAAATATAAATCAAAAATTCATTTATTTCTGATATTGATCAAATGAAGAAGAAATGAAATATATTATACCCAAAAATGTAAATATTGTCATTTAAAATCTTAGAAATCACTTGATCGGCAATTTCAGCTTAAATTCTGATTGGTTCGGAGAATTCCTATATATACTGTAAGGATTTGCCAAATTTTTTTTTCAAAAAGACTTTCCCTTTCTTTCAAAATCCATGAAATAAAAATGTCGGCACAATTTTTTCACAAATTAAGCCAAAATTATATTGAAATATTAGATGACGATGAATATTATGATATTACAATCGAAGCTGGGAAAGACCCAAACGTAAAAATATTCCGTGCGCACATGATTATATTGTGTTACCGTTCTCCTTTTTTTCGACGAACATTGACTTGCAACAAAAAGGATAATGATGACGGCGTCTTAACACATATAAAGTTACCAAATATTTTACCGGAAACTTTACAAATTATATTGAAGTAAGTTATGACTGAAAACCACGTTTATTTATTAAAATTTATAATAATCTTAAAACATATTATTATATAGATATATTTATGGGGGAATCATTTCATTAGATGAGTATGAAACTTTGGATATTTTTGAAGTTTTGATTGCGGCTAATGAGCTTCTTCTTCAAGAGCTAGTTGATTATTTACAAAAATATTTAATTGAAAACAAGTTTGAATGGATAGAACAACATCTTGAACGAACTTATTCAAAAAGTTTTCAATCTAATTCTTTATCTGAACTTCAACAATTTTGTACAAAACTTATTGCCGAATCACCTGAAAAGATATTTAAATCACTTGACTTTACTTCACTTTCTGAAAAGGCCTTAGTTTCAATTATCAAAAGAGATGACTTACAAATGAAAGAAGTTGAAATTTGGGAACACGTATTAAAATGGGGTCTTGAAAAACATCCCACACTCATTTCAGATCCTAAAACTTGGTCAGATGATGATTTCAAAATGATGGAGAAAACTTTACAATTTTGTTTACCTTTAATTAGGTTTTTTAGTTTATCTTCTGAAGATTTTATCAAAAAAGTTCGTCCATATAAAAGGCTTTTGAATTATCAACTTTATGAAGATTTATTAAATTCTTATTATGATCCAGAAAGTGAACCAAGTGATACCATTTTACTTCCTAGGGGTAAAAATGTTGATGGAATTATTGATATGAAGATTGTTAATTTAAATATTGTTTCCGTGATTTCAAGGTGGATTGATAAAGTAGATATTAAAAGCAGATTTGTCCATACAAGAGAATTATATTTACCGTATGAATTTAAATTGTTATTAAGGGGAAGCCGAGATGGATTTACTCCAAAGAAGTTTCATGAGTTATGTGATGATATAATTTGTACAGTTACATTCATTAAAGTAAAAGGAACAGAAGAAATTCTTGGAGGATACAACCCTTCAATATGGAAATCCCCTTCGCAAAGATATGAATATGGTAAAACTAAAGATAGTTTTATA